CTTATATAACATATTTGCTATTATTCAGTGAATTTTTTAAAAGTAACCTACAAAATCAAATGAAAAATAGAAATCAAGCTAGTCATGCTCTTGTAGACTAAAATTCTTATTACTGTGGATATACTGAAAATATGTAGCATAGCATGGTGATAATATGTATATAGTTAGAAATTTGGATTTTTAACAGGTTTCAAAGTATTGTCATTATATATAACAAAATCCTGTTATTACATATTATATTACTATACTTTCACTCCAACATGACTATCAAATGCTTTTTTCTTGGCATTTGATACTGCTAAGATACACGTACACACTCACACAAACAACCACAAATCAATCAATCAACTATCTATCTATCTATCTATCTATCTATCTATCTATATCTATCTATCTATCTATCTATCTATCTTAGTATACCAAAAATCAGGCCACACTTATAATATTATCTAAAGTATATTAAAAGTCACTCCCCACTTATAATATTATCTAAAGTACATTAAGTGTTTGAATTGTTGAGGACTATCTGTATTTGAAATGTGTATAGATATGTGTGTTTTTAGAAGTTTGTGAGTGGTTTTGGAAGGGTTTAGAAGGTTTTTGTATTTTCTTTTTGGATAGCTAGGATTGTGAATTGTCATGTTATTAACTAAGATGGCTGTGAGAATGATATTCTATTTTATTAGGTTGCTGAACCAGAGGAATGTTATTATGATAAACAAGACAAGAGGAATTCATTGATTCATTTAGAAAGGAAGCTCTCTGATGCTGTACCACACAAAGTTTTAGTACAATCCTTGGATGTAAATGAGAATTTTCCTAAGGAGAAGAGCAGTGCCTCAGAAAGTGATGAAGACGGTAAATAATGTTCCAGTCTTATTGTTCTGTACAGTACAAATTACAGCAATAAAAGAAAACAAATTGTCTTTATCTATGGAATCTACTTCTGCTTATCTTACTGCTAGTAAAACTGATAGAAAATGGCTGAGTATTGTGGCTGCCTTAGGCAATAGATCCTGAAGACCTTGAGAGATAGTGTCAGGTTGGAGGACACAGTCAGTACATGTAAACTGTTCATCCTGTTTCTCCTTCAATAGTTTATTACCGGTACTTACTGTCAAGTTTGAAAGAAAGAGACAATAGGACCAGTTGGAGAGCTTCTGTACAAACAAGAATGTGGAAATATTGTCTAAAGATCATTAAAAAGATTTATATCTCACCTTTTTTTAATTAGGAAGGTGTGTTTAATATTGTCACTGCCCTGAGTTATTTGTAAAAATGATAAAGGTGGGATATAACTAGTCAAATCAATACATAAATAAATAACTGAAGGAGAATGTGCACAATACTTCTTCCTCTTCTTATTTTCCCCGCAACAACCCTGCACTAAGATTGGACTGAGAGACAACGTCTAGTCCAAAATCATCTGACTTAGGCTTTCATGCCCAAGACAGGACTAGAACTCAGTCTCCTGGCTTCTAGCCTGGTGCTTCACCACTCAGAAATCATATTCTGCCAATGGCTGCTATTTTATCTTTTACATCAATGTGATGTCATTATGTGATCTACACAATATAAATTAGAAACAAAGCTACTGCAGACATAGCGTCAATTGTCCCTCCCCCTTCCCAGTATCCCTGGCTACTCCAAGGCCAACCACAATTATAGTATTGGTGAAGCCTTTGTCATAGCCATGGATGAGGGGCACTATTCAGCACATAATGATGGTGATGCGGATACTGCCATAAGACCTTTTACAGACAGTGAAGTTTCTGTAACAGCTCGCAAATTGTTCCAAAATGAAATCTTCCCTAACACTAAAGCTTTCCATGAGATGAGCACTAGGTTGCAATGAACGTAAGTCATTTCATGCAACAGTACTGTTTGCTTTACTTTTCTAGTAAATAATTCCAAAATTCTAGTAAATAATTCTGATTTGGACAATCCATTTTTTTGAAATGGTATAGGAGTATCTGCTTCGGGAATGGATTGAACTAGAAGACCTTCCAGCTCTGTTATTCTATTTGTCCATTTCTGCAAATACCAGTGGGTGCTTAATTTTTGTGAGATTCTTAAAGCAATAAACATGTTGCACTTACAGCAGGAGAAGACATGACTTATGAATTATCTTCATTTATATTAATCATATGGCCAGTGCTATTAATTACTTTACTAGCTAATTTTGCAGGTATTTTCAGTACTTGCCTGTCGTTATTCTGGAAAAACCTACCATCTCAATTTCTCTATGTTATATTATTATTTCAGTAATAATGATCATACTGGCATTATAATCTGAATCCTACTGTTGTGGTACTAGTGTTTTATTTTAATGATGAAGAATCTTCCTTCCATACTTACAGTTACAACTCAGCTATTTTCTTTCTTTTTCAGTCCATTGATGAATTAAGATTAAATGATAAGCTGATAACATCTTCTCCTCCTCTTCCTCTCTCTATATGTTTCAGAGTATCTTTGATTATTCTTTTGTAAGTTTTGTTTTTGTTTCTCCTGTCACCACCTTCAACATCAAGGAATGCTTTTTAAAGCCCTTCATAACTGTAGATTTCTAGAATCTTTCACACTTTATAGGCTAGTAAACTGACAAATTTTCATTAAATCTTCTAATTCTAAACTTCCATAAATGCTTAAGGAGTTTTCTAAAATAAACTTGGAGATTTCCAGTTAGGGGATTTTTGTCAGGAAAGTTGCTGGGAATAGGAACTATTATAGGAACCTGCATTTCGTAGCTTGATTCAAATTGTCTCACATAATTGTACCTTTGACGTCCCTTAAGTAGTGCAGACAATTTCATATTTTGGGATTTTTTTTTTCTGATGTAACTGTTACAGAGTTCTTAACCTATGTTTTAAATTTTTCTCCAGTAGCTGAGGAAGCCACCCTTGAGTGTGAACTCCATGGAAAACTCTTTATTAATCGCATTTTCCGTATTGGTGCAGATAAGCTGTTTGAAATGCTTTTCACCAATTCCCATTTCATGCAGACATATCTCAGGACTAGAAATATAACAGGTAAACTATTTTAATTTGTATTGTCTACATTGAGAAAAAACAAGTTAATTTCCCTTTTAACAAGATGAATATTTTGTGAAAAGCATCTGGTACAAAGGCTGGATTCAAATATAATGTAAACCCATTTTTTTTCATGGTTGCATTCAGATAATTAGGTCTTGCCTAGTTTCCTGCAGCTATATACACTTCTTTTGCTCTTCCCTTTGCTCCCTTTGCAAGCAAGTAAAAAAACTATAAGCAATTATATCTTCTGGATAACATCTGAATTGAGAATGTATTAATAATTAATAATCATTCTGAAACAAACTATGGTTTAAATTTAGCTCAGATCTTGGCTTTTGAGAAGGTTATTCAGCCTTTAGATATAACTGAACGTTTGGATGCAATATTTTGACTTTTTTTTAAAGCTAGGATATGATTATTTAACTCAGTCACTGTCAGAATATAAACATGCTGACAAGTTTTGGCTTATTGGCCACCAACACATAAGGATTTGAATTCACAATTTGATATTTCTTTGCAAGTTATATTGAATTAACAAAATGCAGCTGGATACAATAGGTTATCATACTGTAAATAGAAGAATGAACTTATAAAATTGAGCACTGATCACCTGAGTAGAGAAAGCAGAAGTGCATCCAAACATTAGGTATGGATGCAGATAAAAATAGACTGTTGCAGAAAATAGTGGCGCTAATAGTAGGTTTCTTTTAGGGTATTGCAATTAATCCTAGACTGCTGTTAAAAATACCAACATCATTTTGCTTTTGCTTTTATTGTTTATTTTATTTCATTGCTATTTCATTGTTTTCTTTTGTTTTATTTATTGTTTTATGTCATTTGCCTGGTTACATATTTACTTTTCTGTTCTGAATAGATTTGTTGTATGTTTTCCTGCCTCAACCCAACACATATAGAATTAACCACTGCTATAATTTGATGGGGTTAAAACCCCAAAAGGTTTAATATACATAGAAAAAAACCCAGAAGAAAGCACTAATTTATGGACAATCTCATTTTTTATTATAATGTTTCAAGCCAGTTTCACAATGATAAATTTGGAGATTAATTATTTAAAACCCATTACTGTATACCACATGTTATATGAAAATTTCATAATTCAATTCACTTTGCCCTTCATGGAATGTTTAAGGTTTCTAAATGATACTGTATAAATGAATAGCAATAATGACTTATATTTTTGGCTTTAGATGTTGTGTCAACTTCTTGGAACCAAGATAATAGAGGCAATCAACTCAGGACCATGACTTACAGAATTATACTTAACAATCCACTTATTGGAAAATCCACAACTGCAACAGAAAAACAGGTATAAAATGCAAGTGTGTCAGATTACACTGAACTGGCGGAAACTACAGCATACAAAAAGTTGGGCCCTATGCTATGTAGAGCTTTACAGGTGACAGCCAGCACCCTAAATTGCACTTGGTAGCAAATTAGAAGCAGTGCAGTTTGTGGAGTGTTGGTATTATGTGGAAATGCTGAGCCAAGCCCATCACTGTTCATGCCACCACATTTTATAGGAGCCGAGGTGGCGCAGTGGTTAAATGCAGCACTGCAGGCTACTTCTGCAGTTCTGCAGTTCGGTTGTTCAAATCTCACCGGCTCAGGGTTGACTCAGCCTTCCATCCTTCCGAGGTGGGTAAAATGAGAACCCACCTTGTTGTTGGGAGCAATATGCTGACTCTGTAAACCGCTTAGAGAGGGCTGAAAGCCGTATGAAGCGGTAT